AAATGTGCATTTTAACTACTTGGTTACTCTTTCCCATGAATTGTTGCAGTGTCATCCCCAAAACAACCATCAAGAGACTACCAGCTATTAATAACACCTGGGGGCACTAAATACTGGACGCCTCAATGCGAAGATGCAATCCAACCTTGGAAAGGACAACAGTTTAGCACATTAAATGATGATATTGATTTCTATCGAACCTATGCGTCTACGGTTGGTTTTGACGTCAGACAGAGCACGTTGGTGAAGGCACGTGATAAAGACTATTCTTTGGAAATACCTAGTGTGCTCACGAGAAGGCTACAAACACCATAGGAACACGAGCCAAACAGAACCCAACGGCAGTCTTATGCAAAGGCGTCGGGTATCCAATCGGGTTGGATGTAATGCTCGAATTGTGCTGCGAGTATGTGGAAGTGAAGGCTATGTGGTAAGATTTTTCGAAGAAAGACATAACCATGCCATGGTCCTAGGAGAATGTAGAGCTCACCTGAAGATCAATCGTACCATGACTGCGGCACATCAAGGCTTTGTTCTCAATTGCCTAAAAGCCAATATTGGGACTAGTAGATTGTACAAGCTGTACAAAGAGATGGTTGGGGGTTATTCGAATATTGGCGCCACCAATGTAGACTTCAAAAACTTCAAGAGGGAACTTCTTGCATACATCTCAGGAACCGATGCTCAGATGGTTGTTGACAAATTTTATAAGCGTCAGGAGAATAGTTCCGCCTTTTATTTTCAATATGAGGTTGATGAAAGCGAGCGCTTGCGGAGATTTTTCTGGGCTGATCCAATATCAAGACGAAATTATGGCTCGTTCGGGGATGTTGTATCATTTGATGCAACTTATGGCACCAACAGGTCATTGTGTTTTCTCATGTACAGATACATTGCAACTTATTCGCATCATTAATAAAGTGCACATCAGTGCATTTAATACTGCACATTACATTGGAATATATGCACAGTATATATGGACAGCATAATACCTGCCAAAAAAAAAAGAAAAAAAGAAAAAAGAACATAAAAAAATGCTAAATTTTCAATGTCTACAATCGGATACAACCACAACATACTGATACTTATTAAACTTATGTCTTTAGGTACAATATGATATTTGCACCTTTCACAGGGATAGACAACCATAACAGGTGCGTAACATTTGCAGCTGCTTTGATATCAAAAGAGGACGTGAATTCATACGTATGGGTGTTTGAGAACTTAAAAAATGCCATGATTTAGGAGCCCAACTATATAATCACAGACCAAGATCCCTCGATTGGAATTGCTTTCGCCAAGGTATTCACTAGCAGGAAACACCGATTTTGCACGTGGCATATAATGAATAAACTGTGTGATAAGGTTGACCATTCCTTAACCAATGATATCGATTTCAAATAGAGGTTGAACGAAATTGTCTGGTCTCGAAACATAGAACCTGATGAATTTGATTCTAAATGGGATGCTATAATGGACGAATATTCATTGGAATCACATAGTTGGTTTATTGATATGTTTGCCAAGAGAGGGCATTGGATACCAGCATATTTTAGGGATATAAGAATGAGTGGGCTGATGAGGACTACGTCTAGGTCGGAAAGCGAGAACAATTGGTTGAGCAGTTTCACTAATAATCGTTCTAGTTTGGTGGAGTTCCTGTTGCATTTTGACAGTGCAATGGATGCACAACGTAACACGTCAATGAAACTACAGTGTGATAGTGAAACTCATATGGCTGATTTAAAAACACCTCTATCGGTTGAAAAGTCAGGCCTGCACGTGTACACGACAACAATATTCTATCGTGTTCAAAATGAGATTTGTGATGCGTGCTACAAATGTAGGGTTATGCAGGTTTCTGATAATGGTAGCCACATGACATTTGTTATCAAAGACAGTGACGGGAAAACGTTTACAGTAATACATGACGTCGTCCTTAGTACATCAGAATGCTCGTGCAAACACTTTGAGATCTATGGATGGTTGTGTAGACATATTTTTGTCGTGCTTAAGGACTTAAACAT